GGGGGGTGTTGGGGAGCCGATATGCACGTGTGTGCCGGCTCCTGGAGAGGCAGAGGGGGACGGGAGGGAGAGGCAGGCAGGAGGCAGTGCTTGGAGGGAGCCAGCTTAAAAGTTATTTCCAGCCTATACACAACCCAAACTTGCAAGCTCCAACAACACCCTTCCCCAGGGAGCATGGAGCTGCCTTGTCCTTTAGGCACCCTCCTCTGCTGAGCCACTTCTCTGACCAAGTTCACTGAAGCCTCTGTGCCCTGGTGCATGATGCATCCTGAGGGCTTAATCCCCTCCTGCCTGCAGTGGCCTGGTTATGTCAGTGGCCAGCAGCAGCCTGCCTTCTGACATGGTGCATACAAACTGCTTCCAGCCACAGCGGGGAGAGAGGGGAAGGGAGAGGAAAGTAATGGCCTGGCCCTCTTTTGCAAAAGAGGACCAGGCCATTACTTTCCTTCCACCTCCTCCCCCCTTACAGCTGAAAGCAGTTCCCAGCCCTTCCCTCTAACACAGTGGTGAAGGCTGCTACTGGCCACATTCTGGTGTGATTTATGGCAGAAATCAGGGGAGGGGGTTATGTTGTGACCCTGCACGCCATCCCTAAACTGTTGCCTCAAGAAATTGTGGCTCTAGGTACCAGGAGAGTGAGCCACGCCTGGAGAGCACTGAGGAAGGGTCTGGTTGGTCGGTCAGTCAATCTTACCCCCCCCTTGAGAGAAGTGTATGAGAGTGAGTGCGTGTGTGTGTGTGTGTGTGTGTGTGTGTGTGTCACTTCTCCCTGAAGGGGTGGGGTATAGGAGTGTATGTTTCACCCCCTCCCTGGGTGAACCCTACAGCCTTAAAAATAAGAAGGTAAATATAAAGAATCCAACTATTTAGTATTTCTTTTTAACAGGTGCTCAGTCAATGATGTGAATTTGAACTGCACAGTTCTGATTACTTGTATTCTAATGAGTTCAATGGCAATTTTACCAGGTGTCCTATATTCAGCATAGAGAAATATGGTCACACTAGTGCTTAGTCTTGTCATGAGGGCAGGGGCCTGGATTTGATGGCTTCTTAAGGTCCCTTCCAATTCTATAATTGTATGAAAAACATGTATAAACGTTTGTCTTGGATAAAATACAATGTTTTATTCTATCCAAAATAAAACATTGTTTCCATTTCAAATATGTTTAGGTTAATACTTCTAAAAAAACAAAACAATGACATTTTTAAACAAATCAAATTCAAATATTGAAAGTATTTAGTTTAAAAAGTGTCAAAAAACTTGGATGTTCAATTTTTTATGTTTTTTTTATTTGATATAAGAATTTGATGAACCCACTACAAATTCACAAAGTATGGTCAACCCAAATCTACACTTTTCAGCAAAAAAGTTGCACCTAAAAATAAAAAAAAGCATTCAGCTCTATTTTAGCCATTTGAAGGAGCTCAGATTCTTCCATAATGGCAAGAGAAATCTACCAAGAATCACAAGACAAAGTTAAATTAATTTGGAATTCAAAAATTTCAAACAAAGTCGTCTCTGCAATTCATGTCAAGATCTCCATCTACACAAAATTCCATGAAAATCAGAATTAATTACTATGTTAACACTGTAGTAATAAGGCTTGTTCCTAAATGCTGGCTACAAATGTCTGCAGACAGGGCATTTATTAAAACATGTTGTGCATGTCATGTCAGTGCATTAATCTGTATAAAAGACTAAATACCACCACTACAAGATATAGCATTACAGCAGTCTTTCATATTCTGTCCCTGTTAAAAAAAAAAAAAAAAAAAAAAAAAAAAAAAAAGAGTACTGCTCTTCTGGTTGTTTGGCTACAACACTCCAAAGCCTTTTCCCCTTTAATTACAGGTTGAATCTCGCTGCTCCGGCCCCCTCAGGACCTGACTGGTCCTGAACAAGGGGATTTGTTAAACCAGGGAAGGTCCCTCCCCTCATAGCCTGTGCTGCCATTGGGTCAGGGAGCCAGCCTGCCCCAGGCTCCCAAGGTTCTCTAGATGACACTGGCCCTGCTACTGCCAAGGCCAAAGTGCCACAGCCAGAGCCGTGCAACCGGGGCAGACTACCACAGCCACCTGGCTCCATAGCCAGGGCCAGTGCTTCCTGGCTACTGCTGAGGCTGGAGCTCCCCAGCCACTGGAACCAGAACAGGGCAGGAGCTCCCAGGCTAGAGCTCCTCGGCCGCTGGGCCAAGGAGCTCTGCTAGAGCCAGAACTCCTCGCCATGCCACCCATCCTCTCCTTCTCCCACACACACATACAGGGCTCCTGGCTGAGTTGCCAATGCCCCCTACGGTGCTCCTACCCTGCCGCCAGACCTCTCTCTTCCTGGGCTCTGTAGTCCAGGAACATCTGTGGTCCATGCTGTACCAGGGAGTCCCAGTTAAAGGAGGTACAACCTGTATCTGAATGTCTCAACCTATCCTCTCATCACCTTTGTTTGAAGCTCAGCCAAACACCACAAGACAACAGGGCTCCCTTCAATGTTTATTACAATATCTATCCTAAAATACTTATGACACAGGACCTAGGGCTATGTGATGGGGTGCCCCGGCCCCGCACTTCCAAGACTCGGGCTCTGGCACAGCAGGGAGGAAGGCGGGGGGAAGTGCATGCATTCGCGGCGTGCTCAGCAGTGCGCACCAGCAGGGGAGGGGAGATGCAAAAGGGGCACCCTGGGGGAGCAAGAGGCGGGGCGCAGGTGCAGAGGAACAGCGGGCGGCTCAGCCGCTCACGAAGGGGGCGCCCCGGCGTGACGTAACACCAGGGCGCCAGGATTTAAAGGAAGATAGTGGGAGAGGAGAGGGGAGGACGACGCGACCCCAGGGGGAACTGGGGAGACAGCCAGGGTGAGTGCTGGCCGAGGGGGGAGGAAACTGCACCTGGGGAGAGGAAGCAGCCCAGGTCAGGGCAAGGAGCCTGCGGGCTGGCGTGTGACAAGACCTGGACAGGTCTATGTCCTTAGGGCCCTGGGCTGGGGTCTGTGAGTGAGGGCAGGCCCAGACCCCCCCTCTCCCCACCGCCAGGTGAAGGCTGTGTTGACAGAATCCCTGGAGAGGGATTCCTTGGGTATATTAAGCCAGACCGGGCCAAAAAGCTGATAAAAATGTAAAATTACGGTCAAGGTGGCTAATAAAATATAGGGGGAGGCATGAAACTTTTACAAGCTAAAATACTTCAGATCTCCATCAACAGGATTTAGTGCTGTGAATCCACAGGCTGGAAACAAGCAGAGAACCTTCCTTTCTGGCTGCATTAGCAAATCAACTAGAAAAGCCTATCTGGGACAGTGTTGGCCTCGGAGAGGTAGGAAATCCTGTGGGATGGAGGATATTCTGTTAGCACAGCATTTCAAACTGGTAACTCAGCAAAAAATGAAGTATTTTTAGTTCATTCTCTAATGCCTTTACCGGTATAACTGGAAATCCTCTTCTGTAAAGACTTCTTGAATTTTATTCCCAAAGTATCTAGAAAAACAAGAGATGATCTAAGATGACAAATTATGAACCTGATTGTTTGACATTACCAATTTGCATTTTCACACCTGCATCTATGCTTCAACTTTTCCACAAATAACCAATAAACTAAACTTGATATAAAAGCCCCACAAATCTTCCCATTGTTTAAAAGCAATGATTAAAGAGATACATAGCTTCCAAAGTGTTTTCTAAGATGTTGCTAGAAGAAAAAATGACCCAAACTCAATTACTATTGATAGCATTTATCCTATGCAAAGAAAATATTCCTTAAAATAAGAGTGTGGATTTCCTCCTTTAAAAAGATTGGTGCACACCCCCTTTGTTTCTTATTGATATAGCTGTGGGACTTAGAACTGCATAAAAGTAATTTGTTATCCAATACTACAAAGGTAAATCCTGTAACAGAAATTACTAATAGCTTCCTAAGAGCCCAGTTCAATAAGAATGTCAGATTTGGTGCTACAGAAGCTTTTATTGAGTCCAAGAAACTACTGGCAGCCTATCAAATCCCTAACACATAGATCCATAACACACTTTGAGACAGTAGAAGACACAAGTTGTAGGAGGCTAAAGGAGAGGCATTAACTCATTTTTGTCCCACTTTACCTGTACAGATTAACAAAATGCTTTCCCACTGAAAGAGCTCCAGAGTACAAGTCCAAGATTGAAGCCTGAGAAAGGAGACAGAAGTAAAAGGGGAAAAAAGACAAACTGATAAGCATGAAAAAGCTTAAAATGATCTGCCTTGCAAACTGCCCTAACTGAATGCTGTTTCCCTCACCCTTCCAAACAAAATTATCTGCTCTCCAACAGTCAGATATACAATGTTACAAACTATTCTCTGGTAGGTGTTTCTAAGGTTTCCATCAGTTTGGAATCTAAATGAAAGAGAAGGCATTGGACTTGATTCCAAAGATTGGAGTACAAACCTATTCTTGCCTCAGACTTCCCGGACAATCTTGGCAAGCAAGTCTCTCTCTGACTCAAACCGTCATCTGACAAATGGAGATCTCACCTTATTCACTGATGATGAGGGTATGAATTCATCAATGTTTGTGGGGCTCTCAGGTATCAATGACAAAGGCCATAAAGTACCTATCCTCTCTATACCTTTGTTTCAGTTAAACCTTCTCTTTTCCCTCCCTCTGAAACAGCAGCAAGCTAGACAAAAAAAAAACGAACTGAAAATAAGATCTGAGGAAGTGAGTTGTAGCTCATGAAAGCTTATGCTCTAAGACCCCAATAAATTTGTTAGTCTTTAAAGTACCACCGGACTCCTTGTTGTTTTTGCTGAAACAGAACACGGCTACCTCTCTGAAACCTGAAAATACGATGTAAAATTTTAACAGTGAGGATAATTAACCATTGGAAAAACTTATCAAGATTTATTTTTGAATCAGAATACATTTACATCAGCTGCATCACCTGAACCAAACTATAAAACTGACTCTACTAATGTAATTTTCAGTGTGAACAGAGGTCCAACTGACAACAGATAGTTAAATGAGCTGAAATCCTTTGATGTGTAGCATTCTTAACTATTCTCACCATGGAACCCTACCCTTCTCAAAGTGATGGTCTTTGCTATCTGCTTCACAGAACTAGTGACAACTCAAGTTGTTTGGAGAGGTCACAAGAAATGATGGTCATATGATCTGCCCATACACAAAGCAAACTCCATCTTTAGAGCAGGATGTATTCTAGTGCTCTGATGGCCCTGCTTCATTAGGCAAGATTCCACACTTATATTGTTACATATTATTTGAAGTACAAAGAGCTCAGATAACCTGGCTATCTAGTGGCAGCACTGCATATGGATATGCAAAATTGTCAGAGTTCCAAAGCTAAGCTAACAGCTGCAGGTTAAGCCCCAGTCTCATAGTAAGGTTTGCCATCACTTTCTTACCATCCCTCTAAGACCATGTTCGGCAACATATCACTAGTAGCCACATGCAGTGTGTTAGCCAGAGTGTGTTGCTGCATCCAGGAGGCTTTGAATGCTTTGGGTTAAAATAGGGGAATTCAAAAGGATTCTGCTTCAGCTCCCGCAATGAGGAAATATCTTTCTTCTCCCATCCACCTGTGTTTCCCTCAGTCTCTTAAAAGGCATAAATTATCAAGCTATTAAAATGGATATGTCATGGAGTGCTCAGACACCTCCAGTCTACTGTAGGCCCTCCCCCACAAATAAAGCTTTTAGAGGACTAATGCAGACATGTTATCCTACATCAAGTCACCTAAGGAGAGCTCTTGCAACAAGCTTTATTCAAACTTTAGTGTAGTCTTAAATAAGATCTCATCTTCTAAGTTACAGCCGTAAGTGTGAAGTAGTTACTGAAGTTCTGTAATGGTTGTAAGCATATTTATAGACAAAATCCAGAAGTTTTGTAATCGGGAATGGCAGGACACATAGCTAAATAAGCAGGTTTAATTTAAAAAAAAAAAAACACATTTTGTTTTTCAATTTCAAATTTACTTTAAACAGTCATTCAAAACATGAATTTTCCACTTGCTTCCTGAGGTAGCATGGGCTTGTTGCACTACAGGGCTTCCAAAATGATCAGCTTCCCAAATGAAAATGCAGTGGATAGGCTCCCAAAACGTAAAAGCTATCCCTAGCTGGTCAGATGATGGCTGGGACATGAAGCTTAGAAAGGCAGATGGAGGAGGAGGAAAGGAGAGTAAGAAAGGTAATGAATAGTCCGCAGCACAGTTTGAGAGAGGGAAAAGAGACTGCATGCCAGAGATATAGAAGGGCTCAATGATACAACGGAGGGCTTCTATTTGGTCAACTGCTGTCCTGAAAAGAAGTTGAATCACACCTATTTTCACATGAAGCTGTCCAAGAACATTAGGCACTCACTGGCTTTTCAATACAGAGCATCCGTGCTACATGTCCAAGATATGTTCAAAAAAAACATGGACGTATAGGGAAAGGACGTAAAGTGGGGAATTTTTTTCCCCACGGCTGACTCCCATTGTGAAATTATTTTTCCCTTTTCCCCCCTCCCCAGCGATGAAAGAGCACGGAAAGGGAGGGTGTATAGCGGGGACACCCGGTACCATTTTCTACACTTGGGAATTTAGCTTGGAAAAAGTCTATGGAATCACTACACCAACTCAGTTTTCTGATTCAGATAGTTCAAACACTCCCAGCAGGAAAGCCTTGAAAAGCTTGTATAGAGATGGCAGAATGATTGCAAACACTTTCCACCCATCTTTTAAGAGGGATTATAACACAAGTAGTTCCCTGGTGCCATTTCAAGTAATTTCCACTAGAAAGATTCTGGACTTCTCCAAAAAGAATGAAGTATAAATGCAGACATCTTTACAGCCACAAGACTTGTTGGCAATTTCACTGTCTATCATCTTCATATTGCGGGAGACAGCATCCAGCTAGCATTTGCAGGTGCTTTGCAATGCTGATAACAAAAGGAACTCATTCCTCACTTTAGAGCAGTGACAAAAAGCCATGTCTGACCCTTGGTTTGTTCACTATCTGTTAAACAGGTCAACAAGTAAATATTTGTCCTCCACCCCAGCGAATCAACCTTCCCGCTACCTCCACACCCCTTTTTTCCCCTCTCTGACAAATGGTTATTTTAAAGTGATTGTCTGAAGCAAAGTTTTATTGACAAAAGCTGTCGCACAAGGGAATACACACAAAACAGACTCTGATTTTAGGTGGAGAGGTTGGTATTGCTCAGAACCTGTATGATTTTCCATATCTTTTCCACACCTATGCCTGAACTGAAAGAGGGTGAAAAGCAATGTCATGTCTACACCATTAACCCTTCTTAAGCAGACTGAGAAACTACCAAACAGCTGGGTTCAGTTCTCAAAATAAATTCCACAGTTCAACCTCCATCCCAATTTGAATCTTATCATAGAATCATAGAATATTAGGACTGGAAGGGACCTCGAGAGGTCATCGAGTCCAGTCCCCTGCACTCATGGCAGGACCAAGTACTGTCTAGACCATCCTTGACAAACATTTATCTAACGTACTCTTAAATAGCTCCACAGATGGAGATTGCACAACCTCCCTGGGCAATTTATTCCAGTGTTTAACCACCCTGACAGTTAGGAACGTTTTCCTAATGTCCAACCTAAACCTCCCTTGCTGTAGTTTAAGCGCATTGCTTCTTTTTCTATCCTCAGAGGCCAAGATGAACAAGTTTTCTCCCTCCTCCTTATGACACCCTTTTAGATACCTGAAAATTGCTATCCTTCAATCTTCTCTGTCCCCCTTCAATCTTCTCTTTTCTAAACTAAACAAACCCAATTCTTCCAGCCTTCCTTCATAGGTCATGTTCTCTAGACCTTTCATCATTCTTGTTGCTCTTCTCTGGACCCTCTCCAATTTCTCCACATCTTTCTTGAAATGCGGTGCCCAGAATTGGACACAATACTCCAAATGAGGCCTAACCAGCACAGAGTAGAGCAGAAGAATGACTTTTCGTGTCTTGCTCACAACACACCTGTTAATGCATCCCAGAATCATGTTTGCTTTTTTTGCAATAGCATCATACTGCTGGCTAATATTCAACTTGTGGTCTACTATAACCCCTAGATCTGTACTCCTTTCTGCCATACTCCTTCCTAGACAGTCGCTTCCCATTCCATGTGTGTGAAAGTGATTGTTCCTTCCTAAGTGGAGCACTTTGCATTTCTCTTTATTAAACTTCATCCTGTTTACCTCAGACCATTTCTCCAATTTGTCCATCATTTTGAATTATGACCCTATTTCTCCAGAGCAGCCGTAACCCCTCCCAGCTTGGTGGTATCTGCAAACTTAATAAGCGTACTTTCTATGAAAATATCTAAATCGTTGATGAAGATATTGAAGAGAGCGGGTCCCAAAACTAGACCCCTGAGGAACCCCACTTGTTATGCCTTTCCAGCAGGATTGAGAACCATTAGTAACTACTCTCTGGGTAGTTATTAATCTTTAAAGAAGAGGTACAAGAGATGAAGTGTTATCAGCCATGCTGTCTAGGCCTTTTGCAGATTAGGTTCATCATGTGCAATGCACATGAAGTCAAATTCATGTGGAAGTTCCCAGTAAGATTGCAGAGAACACAGGTTACCATAATTAAATCAATATTTTGTCATGCTATTTGTTGCATATTTGCACTGGATACAGATTTAATGCTTCTCACTGGTTAGATAGGGTCAAGTCTTCACGTCATGAAAATCTTGCTTTGTTTCTCCTACAATTCCCAAGCTTTGTGAAATGACTCACACCCTAAATGCTACAACTGGGTTTTAATTCCCACCAAAGAAATAAGATTCAAATGGTTCCTTAGAAGAATCTTAGAAACTGTACTAACAGTACTTTTTTGTGTGTGACCTCAGAGGAAAGTTCAGCTTTCAGAGCCAGAAAAAGAGTTGAAGGAGTGTGCTGGAGCAAAGAAGCCACAGGAACAGTAAGTTAACTGTGGAAGAATCCAACTCCTTCTAATCAACCAGACAAAGCAGTAGTCTAGGCAACAGTAGGATATAGCAGAGAAGGACATAAAGCAAGGTGGAAGATTCGGAAACCAAGAGTGATATGGCAGCTATTTACAAAGGATTAGTAAAATGCTTAATATACAAGGGAAAAAACAAAGGACAACAAATGGAAAGAGAAGCATTGTAGGATGCAGAGGCCTACATGGGAAATAAAATG